TGCTGTGGCGTGCAACATATAGATAGAAGGCACAGAAATGAATAATCCGTGTAAGAGCATAAATTCACAATACAGTTTTCAAATGCTGAAAATAATATCCAGAGTGTTTGCAAACACACAGCCTTTGAATAGTTTGGGGTTTGTGCCTCTGGGTATGTGTGTACCCACACAATCCATTATTTCTAATAGTTGAACAAAATGTTATGTATGTTTGCAAACAGACAGTAATAACTGATTTAAGGCTGACATTCATTTGTAACGATAATTTTCTGTCCTTTACATTGTTTGCTTTGCTAGTTAAAAACGGAGCTTTGTAAATGAAATTTCAAGTGACCCTTTCGCTAGAGAATTATTAATGCAATGTTATAATAGATACACTATTACTTAATATTATTGGGATTCTGTCTGTTTCCATAGCAACCATGGGCCTATGTCTGCTCCACTAGTAAACATGGTATTAAATCATTCCTTGATAAAGGCTTTTTTTCCTGAAATGTCAGACTTTCATCCTTTACCACGCTCCCCTCTCTCAAATGGACTTTTGTGTGTGTGAATGTGATGTTTGTAAAGAATGAGATAACAAAACTAGAGTGGAAAGGACTCTTGTTACTGGCCTTGTCTATGTATATGTATGGTAATAGGAGTTGGGAAAACGGACTGTACCACTGCAAGTGTGTGTGTCTCATATTTTTGAATTCTCTGTGTGAGAAACAAAAACAAACAAGCAAAAAACAACAACTTGCAAATATAAAAAAACAGGATGACAGACAAATGCCTGGGATAGAACTTTTCTCCCTGTCATGTCAGTTTCCTGTCATGAATTTTAATATATATATATATATATATATATATATATATATATATAATACATACATAAAATTACATGGAACACTGCAAGCTGAGGTAACTGCCTCGGCAACAGATATTTGGGTGTCATGACAAGGCAGTAAAGCACTAGCTATTTGCAGCGCAACATATAATTGCCTAAATAAGTCTCATTGCAATCTTACTGTTCAACAGGATTGTACCCTTACTATTGTACCCCTTACCCCTGCTTTGGTTTGTTTGGTTTGTTTATGCTCGCATACTGTTCATTACTGTTTTTGAGCGGTTCCCTTGTTCCCTTGCATGGTTGGGAGGCTGCTCTTGGTGGGGCTACACTCCCTCTAAATGAGCAGATGGATACACAGCATGGGAGTTCTTTGGGGTCCATTGCTGTTGCTTGAGGCTCAGGCTGCCTCAGTGGCCCGGAGTGCCTCCCATCTGCTTCGGCTGATGGCTCAGCTGCAGCCCTATCGGGAAAGGGATAGCATAACTTCTGTTGTCTATGCCCTGGTAACCTCTAAGCTAGATTACTGCAATGTGTTATACGGTACATAGGGCTTCCCCTGAAGACGGTTTGGAACAGGGGTCGGCAAGGTTTACCTCGCCTGGGCCGGTTCACTCCAGCAGAGATTCCTCCATGAGCCGGATCGTGCACGCAGCCACGATTTCCAGTGTCTGCGTCTGCGCAGCCGCGCTTTCAGGCATCTGAGCATGCGCAGATGTGACTTCCGGCACTGCGGAAGCAAGTCCCCATGCGCAGCACATGGGGATTCGCCGAGCGGGCGGCTTGGTTCGGGGGTGGCTTGTGGGCCAGTTTAACCTGATTAATCACTTGTGGCCCATGGGCCTTAGGTTGCCTACTTCTGGTTTGGAAGCTTCAGCTAGTGCAGAATTCGGTGGCCAGGATGTCCTCCAGGGCAAGGTGGTTTGAGCATATCACATCGAACCTGCATTGGCTGCTGATTAGTTTCTGGGCCCAACTAAAAGCGCTGCTTTTGACCTATAAAACAGCACCTCAAGGACCACCTCTCACCCATATGAACTGACCCGAACCTGGCAATCATAATCTCAGGTGCTTATTCGTGTGCCTCCTTCACAAGAGGTCCAGAGAATGGCAACATCGGAACAGGCCTTTTCTGTGGTGGCTCCCTATTTGTGGAATGTTCTCCACAGGGAGGCTTGCCTGGTACCTTCGTTACATATCTTTAGGTGCCAGACGAAAACTTTTCTCTATAACCAAGCTTGTGGCTAATTCATTAATCTATAGCCTTTTAAACTGTGTGTGTTTGTTGGGGGGAATGTTATTGTTTCGTTTGTTATTATGTTATTACTTCTATGTTTTTATAGTGTAAACTGCCCAATCCTCAGAGTGAAGTGTGGTACTTACATTTAATAATTAAAATAAATAATAAATAAATAAATAAATACTAGACGTCTAATGATGTTCACCTGCTTGAATAATTTATATTTTGGTTTCCCCCTACACACACTGTCGAGATCCTCACGTGCCCCCTGAAACTGCCCCAGAGGATCCCCCAACTCTCCAGGTCATATTTTGAGGGTGTACAGGAGGAGGAAGAGGAAGAAGTTCTGTTGAACAAATGAAGTCAGCTCATGGATCGTTAATGTTGTTGTTGTTGTTGTTGTTGTTGTTGTTGTCAGGAATGGAGAGAGGTGTTCTTGCCTCTCAGGTGTCAGAATAACTTGTCTGCCAACAGCAGTAGTACAAAGCAGGTGTAATAAAAAAAATGGCCTAAATATATATTTTAGAGGGCCTTGTCACAGATCAAGTAGCTGCAATACTGGGTTTCTGGCTGAATGTGTTGTTATTTATAAATTACATTTTGTTGTGAAAAGTATAATAGCACTCAAAAGTGTATGTGTTTCATACATATGCTGTGAAATAAAATAAATATGCTCCACAGGGACTTGCTACCAACACTGGCTCTCTGATGACTATATCTGCATAATACATGTACTTGCCTCATTTGCATGTCACATTCTTAGATGGGCATATTTTGTATTTAATTTTCAATAAGTATTATGATTAAAGGCATACAAGAATACAGAGAGAAGCTGCTGCCAGATCTCTTGGGTAATGATAACGTTTATGACAATCACTTGACATGAAGTGGATGAGGTACAATGGCAAGTTCATGAAATGGATTGCTATGGACAGTTCACCAAGCTCCCCATTTGTCACAGTCAAAAAGCAGGTTTGTGACATGCTTGTCACTTCTGATATGTACTGAGAGACAATAAAAAGCTGTCATGGGTGGTTGACAGTATGAATGGATGGAGAATTTAGAAGAGGGCAGACAGGAGCTGAGACCTAATGGAGATTAATTTTTTTAAACAATGTTACTTGACCTAATCTATCCCCTGAACAATATTTTGGTTCGACAGTTGCTGGTTTTCTTTCTTTCAATATAAGAAAGAAAACCAATATTTTCCGCAAATGAAAATATTATTTCCGATGGGCGGCTTTGCAGGAAACTCCTTGTTCTGTTTAGCTTTGAATAATTTCTAAATTCTTTATAGTGATGGTGGTTATGATGATATCTGTAATATTTTAGACTAGCATAATCTATTTACAGTAAAATAGCAGCTTCCGCATGCCTCCAGGCAGACAGATACCTCTTTAAATTAATGTTTCAAATCGGTGAAATAGGGCTAAGAAATAGCCAGCTGTTGAGGTATGATGCTAGAAGCATTTATTTAATGCTGTCCCATCTGTTTTAGGGCACTGGATTAGTGCAAGGTGTACAGTTTGGTTTCCATGTGTTTATAAAAAGGGTTTGAATTGATATAATTATTGTGGGGCAGTGTAGTATATCTACTGTCAGCATCTTCCAAATGTAGGCATAGGGAAAAAAAGCCAGCCAATGCATAGTAGTTTTCAGCCCCATTGATTTCATGAGGGTTTTATACCCACTTACTTGGGAGTAGCTCTATTGAACTCAGTGCAGAAAGAAGATTTAATGGAAGCTCTATGTGCATGCATGAAGTGGAGGCTCGTCCATTAGGGTAAATGGGGCATTGCCCCACCAACCCTGCCCTCAGCCAGTTGCTACGAGCAGTTCAGGGGGTGCTCAACAGGGAGGAAAATGCAGACAAAACTAGAATGAATTGGCTATATTTGGCTCCAGGTATGCCTGTCATTGACTCTATCTATTATTTGGGCTCCCTGCCCACCACCCCCGCCCCAGTCCCAATAGGTAGCAGCAGCTTGTTGTTGTTTATTTGTGTCCGACTCTTCGTGACCCCATGGACCGGAGCACGCCAGGCACTCCAGTCTTCCACTGTCTCCCGCTGTTTGGTCAAACTCTTGTTAGTAGCTTTGAGAACTCTGTCCAACCATCTCGTCCTCTGTCGTCCCCTTCTCCTTGTGCCCTCCATCTTTCCCAACATCAGGGTCTTTTCCAGGGAGTCTTCTCTTCTCATGAAGTGGCTAAAGTATTAGAGCCTCAGCTTCAGGATCTGTCCTTCCAGTGAGCACTCAGGGCTGATTTCCTTCAGAATGGATAGGTTTGATCTTCTTGCAGTCCATGGGACTCTCAAGAGTCTCCTCCAGCACCAGAATTCAAAAGCATCAGTTCTTCGGTGATCAGCCTTCTTTATGGTCCAGCTCTCACTTCCATACATCACTACAATGGTACCTCAGGTTAAGTACTTAATTCGTTCCGGAGGTCCGTTCTTAACCTGAAACTGTTCTTAACCTGAAACACCACTTTAGCTAATGGGGCCTCCTGCTGCTGCCGTGCCACCGGAGCACGATTTCTGTTCTTAACCTGAAGCAAAGTTCTTAACCTGAAGCACTATTTCTGGGTTAGCGGAGTGTGTAACCTGAAGCGTATGTAACCTGAAGCGTATGTAACCCAAGGTACCACTGTACTGGGAAAACCATAGCTTTAACTATATGGACCTTCGTTGGCAAGGTGGTGTCTCTGCTTTTTAAGATGCTGTCTAGGTTTGTCATTGCTACTGCTGAATAAATGGGTCTTCCACTTTGAATGATGTCCCTTATCTGTGTTAGGAAGAAAGCAACACTGTCTCTTTGTAGTTATTTAAAGAACAGCATTAGGACTTTGCCAATTAAATTTCTATCCTAGCAGACAATTTGGATAGTGGGGTTAAACAAAACAAGAAAATGCATGTTGTAATAATAATAATAAATTCTGAGATTAATCACAGTTTGGAAAAGTTTTTTTGTAACTCGTCAGAGTTTTGTGCATCTCACTGAACAAACACATTATTTTAAAAATCAACAAGCGGGAAACAAAGTCGCATGCTTCTATACGGCCACAGCTTATAGCTGGGAATGGCTGGCTGGAACCCTGAATAGGAACACTCCTTTCAATAGAAATGATCCAGGCAGGTCCCTCTTTCCAAACATAATGCATTCCCAGGAAATTGTTCATTAGGCAAGTGTTCACATAACAAGCTGACAATTTTTATCATTTCCTATGGGAACATTTCTAATGCATGATTTGTACATCTCTTCCCCCACCCCTCCACAGTTTCTTCCTGAGCCAGGAAAACAGAGACAAAGTAGGGGCTTGGATCAGTCTAATATCTACCATAGTGTGCAAGAAGAAATGCCATTGAGGTGGCTCTGATGACTTCTTTGCTCCTGCAATGAAGCAAAGTACAGGCGACTACCATATCACACGGGGTTTCCGTTCCTGGCCCCCACACACATCCGCAGAGTGCACATAAGCGCCCCCTGCCCTGTTACATCTTGTCTCTGTTACGCTCTTGTTCTATCCCTCGTCTTCCCTCTTCCGGGTCCAAAAGTACCTGTGCTTCAGTGATCACACGTCATATGGACATGCCTAAAATGGTCGCTTTTGCATGGAAGCTTTTGAATGGAAGCTTTTGCAGCCTCCAATGTGTTCCACCTCATGATAATCAGATCCTGTTACATAATCTGTATTTTTGGCTAAATTCGATTGCTATTTTATATTGTTCAGGTCAATTTATTGCATGCACGGCCCTTTTATTTTATTAATAAATATTAAAGTTGGGGGGACATTGCACCAATAAGTGGTACACAAATAAGCCATACCATACTACCATAGCATCTTTCTCTTTCTTCTGGGCCTTTGAGTACTACTCTTAAACTGTTTGTCCACAGAAACAGAAATGTTGAGTAACCAAGTACTGCAGGATTTATATTTTTCTTCTGACAACTTCTCATACATTTCACTAGAAAACATGATTATTTGATGGCTGCATTCAGGAGCCGAATACATTTAATCTGCTCACAGCATATGAAAGGCATCCAGAAAGCTTTACATTAGATACACAGAGGTTCTCGGTATGTCAGCAGTGAAATCAGCATTTTGTAAGTCTTCTTCCTATTTCCTGGTTTTCATGTAATTTTATTTTCTCTTTGAAGTCTGTGGAAGAGTCCAGAAGGGGAAGCCTTTCATTATGCCCATGAATTATTCAGTTATGGTTCTTAGAGTTAACATTGCTTTAAATGGCTTAAAGGTTTTCCATTTTAGTGTTTGCGGGCTCTTTTTATGACTGTGTGCCACGCTTCTCAGTTAAAATCTTTGAATTAGTTGTTGCTAGAAACACTTTCAGTCTTTAATTTGTATGATTGTGTTCTAAAAAATGTGTTCAAAACATTTCTGTTATCTGTGGAAAATCTTTAGTCATATACCATAATATTGTAAGTCATGTGTTTGTTCTCATGGGCTTGGCCTGTAGGTAAAATAGCTGAAGGGAAGGTATATCTGTTTTCTTTTAAATTCTGCAATCTTCTTCATCTTCTTCTTCTTGAAACATATAGCACTGTGTGTCACTGCTCTCTGGTGAAAGGCTAGATGGAGTTAGAGCATGAGAGGGTCTGTGAATTTCCCACTGTGCGAGATCATGACATATACAGTGGTACCTCGGGTTAGGAACGTAATTCGTTCTGGAGGTCCGTTCTTAACCTGAAACTGTTCTTAACCTGCTGGGTTCCAGGCCCAATTCAAAATGCTAGTTTTGTCACTGAGAGCTCATCATCCCTCATCATCCCTCACAACACTTAGAGGACCAGGAATTCCCCTATCCCTGCCCTAAACTGTTTGGGATCAGGGTATCTCTGAAAAACTGCCTGTTTCCATTCAAACTTGCCATTGCCCATGTTGTCATCGGGAGTCCTGTTCCAGGTACCCCCACATCTTGAGAGTAGAGGTTTGTACAGCTTCTCTCTCTTTTTTTTTATGATATTTATTGATTTTTTTTAAATTACAAAAAAGAACAAAGCAGAATAAAGAAAGAAAAAACAAAAAAAGAAACCACATCAAACAATACAAATTCAAAAAACAAAAATACACCACAAACACTCAAAAACAAATCCATCATTCTCAAATCCTCAACTGTCATTACCTTCTTTCTTTGACCTCCTCCTCCTCCCTTTTTTTTGTATCCTAGTTGTTAATTGTCGCAGCAAATCCTTTCCATATTTCATAATATTCTGTCATTACATTACCTTAATCTATTTTAATCTTATCTTACTATAAAAACCTTAAAGCTTAAAACTTAAATCTTATTTTTCCCAACTTCTCATAACCATAATATTCTTACATAATTCTTTAAACATTTTTGCTAAAGCCAAGTAATTTCGTTCCAACATTTTTCTAGCATTCATCAATTTTATAAAACAATCCTGGTAATAAAAAAAGAAATAAAAACAATCCAATCTTCATCCAGCGTCCCTTCCTCCTGGTCCCGGGTTTTGTCAGTCCTTTTTATCCCATCAATCTAGCGCATTAACCTGGTAATCTAGTATCCGAGGCCCTTAAGTCCCTTCCATGTCCCTTCCGCGGCTCTTCTTCATATTTATAGCTGTATTTTCCTTTGTCTCCTGCTCCTTTCACCCGTGGGAACTCCAGCTTAACAATGTATTTGACCCTTCTCGACAAATCAGCCCCTTTTCCATAGTCCACACTAAACTCCATGTGGTATTTCAGAACATGTTTCAAAGTCCCTCCAAAATTAAGAGCCCCCACAACCCCAAACATCTCACGGCCCATTGCCAGACTTGAAAAGTCCAAACATCCCTGCATAGGGGGGTCTATCCAACCCCCCATTTCCAAACCAGACCAAACTTTATCTTTCCAAATCTGGCTTTTTCCAAGTTCATTTGTCAAATCCAAAAGCTCATGTTCCTGCTGGGCCACAGCTCCCTCCATCTCTGGCGCCCAAGATTCAGCAACATCCTCTTCCCTCATCTGTTCTGTCAGGGCACACTCCTGATTTAATTCCTGGGTGGGCTCCATATAATTTCCCACTGCCTGTTCAAAATTTCTGATCGCATCAGTCATCAAGTCCGTCTTCTCATGTAGCTGTTCCAGTAGGGCATTTGTTTTACAGAGAGCACACAACAGAGCTTCTGAATACATTGTCCTGCAAGGTCAGAAGTCTATTCCCACGATTGTAATCTGTAACAGCTGCAAGCTCCCGGAATTGGTTACAGTTTCACAGTCTCCCTCTAGGGGGAAAACTTCTATTTGTTCTTTCTTTTAAAGACAAGTCTATCAACAAAGTTTCCTTTTTCAGATATTTTGTCAATATTTGTTCCTTTAAAATGCGAAGGGGAAAATGGAATCACTATGTTTCTCTTCTTTTAGCTATCTGTCAAAAACGTTTGTCTCTGGTCAATGAGCTTCAAAAAAACGTCAGTCCTGACACCCCGCTCCAGGATCAAGACGGTGGAAAGTTACTTTACTTTACACTCACTTCTGCAGGTTTAAACAGTCCGAAAAAAATCCCCCCTCTTCTCCTGCTTCCGAAGGGGGGTTCAACAATTTTAAATGATGAAAGTTAATCTTTTACAAGCGATTTTCTGAGCTCTAGTTTGCCATGTCTTTGCTTTAATCTATCTACAAAGAAACGGAAGGCTGACTTCCTGTTTAGACCTTCCTGTTTCAGTGCCAAATTGAAGTAAACTTTTAAGTCCAATTTTCCTTTCTGCTCGCAAGTCCTTATTTAAAGTCCAATTGTCCGAAATTTAAGTACTCACGGGTGATTATTTTAGAAGCCAAATTGTCCCAGGAAAAAGGCAGCGCTCTCCGGCAACGGCTGTGCGGCTTCGCTCCACGGAAGAAGCAGTTGACTCTCAGCACCGCGCCACTTCTCCCTCTTCGCTCCGGAGCCCGTTAGTGGGTTCCTTTGCGGGTTGGGGGGGCGCTAAAGGTGCCCGCCGAGTCCCATGGTCACAGGCTTCATCCGCCTGTGATTTTTGAAAGGGTCCCCGCTTCGCCGTAGCGGAAAAGACCCGTTTCGCGTGGAGCTAGTCCCTCCAGATCAGAGGGAGTCCGCCATTGCCGATGGCGCCACCCCGGAAGTCGAGGTTTGTACAGCTTCTCATTGGTGTTACTGTGTCTGGAACTTCTTTCTCCAGGAGGTCTTATCTGAATGACATATTTTCTCCTTTCACAGGCAAGTACCTGTAAAGACATTCAGTTTGGGGAAAGCCTTAAGGGGGAACGCATCACAATGCACTATTTTTTTCTCCTTGTTGATATTGATAGAAGAAACATTGGTCTAATACCTGTCATAGTTCCGATCTTGTGGCTTGCCTTTTAAGATTTTACAGTGTTTTTGTTTTTGTTTTACTTTTTCTGATCGTAAGCCTCTCTGGATGCCTATTGCCAGGCAGAAGGGTGACATTTTAAACAAACATATAAATATATTGATCTCTCCACAGACTTTTACCAAAGTCCTCAATGTGGCATTAAGATGAACATAAACTGAAATCTCCTTGCCTGTGGTTTTAAAAGGAAGCTCAAGTTTGACAAGAATTATGATATAATGATATAGATTATTTATCCTTAAGGATAGCAAATTTGAATATGAATATAGCCAAAATTTACTGCCAAACAAGGATCCAGTTAAAAGCTGAATAACTTGTTAATAAACATCTAGTATTAATGGGATGTCGATTCATTATAATGTTTGCAATCAGAGCACAGAATGTCACAAGCATTAGTCAAGACTTTGTAACAATATTGCTGTAATTGGATGGTAATTTGCATCATTTGAATAAGGGGACATTGAATCATAGGAAGGGACAAGAAATATTTTGTCTGCTGACAATAGTAAACAAGAAGCAGCTGACAAAAATGGCAGAATAAGTTTGAGACCATATCAATCACTGAACAAATGAACAAGATCTGGATCAAAATCTGTAAACAATGTTGTTGGAAGACCTATAGCATGTAAGTTAAATAAATGTGGCTCCATGCTGCGACATGTACTGTTCATTTATAGAAACAGCAACTTCAGTTCCCAACGTATCTAGCTATTGCACAGCACTGTCAGTGTCCATGACCAGTACCTAGTAAGCAGGGACTATCAATATGGAGCAAGTGAGCTGGGCATTAGGTTCTCAGTGCAAAATTAACAGCATTGGTGTGTCCTGGGACCAACTATCAGATGGGTTGCTACAGCAGCACTACCACAATACAAATGTATGGTCAACAGATAAGGAATGAGTTCTAAATGCATACTTGGGTTAAAGGTGGTTCCCAGCCCTGAAAATGTTGAATCTGCTGTTTTAGAGGATATTGAAAGACCTCATCACTCCCAGCTCCTCCTCTCTCTGATCATCTGCTGGGTCCAAGACTTCTCTTTCACTCTGACTATTCTTCCCGAAGACACATCTGCTGATAGAGCCTCCTGACAGCCAAATAAGTGATCCTATAGTGACTCTATAGTGGCCAAAGGGCCCCATGTACATGAAATTGTATGTGTGCGTATGGCATGCAAAATATTGCTTGTTTCCTTTTCATTTAGCTGTTGTACTTTGATATTTGAGCACATGCACAGTAAAGAGAAGAGTAAAGCGTATGCACAGCCACTGTCCTGGAAAACGATAGTCCTGGCTTCAAAAAGTGCTTTGCTTGCTTATGTTGTATTAAGCCTTGCTCATACCATTGCTTAGCCCTGGTTGTGCTACTTGCGGATGGGGATTCATATTGGAATCTTTGTTAGGATGTGTATCCCATTGAAAGCAATGATGTGCTGAAAGGTACTCACATTCAGATCTCTTTCAGCCTCTGTTTCCACCCCCTTCCACTTAGCTTGGGCAAGAATTTTGGTCTTGTTTCTGACATCATGTTCTATTCTAACATGCATTAGCTAACCTTTTTGGACCTGCTGCCACATCTACAAGCCAGGAGGTGATGGGGCACTAAGGGGACTATGGGAAGCTGCCTTATACGAGTCAGGCCACTGGTCCATCTAGCTCAGTATTGTCTACACCTGAGCTTCATGCAGGGGTCTCTCCCAGCCCTACATGGTGATCTGAGGGACTAAATCAGGGACCTTTTGAACGCAGAGCATGTGCTCTACCACTGAACCACAGCCCTTCCTGAACCAGTGGTGGATTTTCTTAAAGCTGGATAGCTCAGTTGGTTAGATTGTGGCGCTGATAACGCCAAGGTTGCAGGTTCGATTCCTGCATTGCAGGGGGTTGGACTAGATGATGGTCAGGGTCCCTTCCAACTCCATGATTCTATGATTCAAGAAGGGCATGGCTGACTAGCTGGAACATTGAACAGGAACCCGGAGAGTTAAAAATGTGTCTAATCATTGTAGAACCCTTGTAATCTGAACCCAGAATTTTTTTTTGGGGGGGGGATTTCACATCAGAATTGGACAATTACCAAGCATTTTTTCCAGCTCCCTTGCACTCTGTAGGTGTAGCACTTTGAGGCAGAAATGAATGGAAGCCTTCCTTTCTGCAACAATGAACTGCAACACACAGACACTCATTCATTCTTTGTATACACATTCTTTGTTTGACAATTGTTTTTGTTTGAAGATCACACTTTAATGAAAGGGAACTGCCCCAAGATAACTTGTTGAGAAGAAGGGGCAAGAAGGGGCAAAGCAGACTTTGGTTTCATTCTCCTGCACCACAGGGGTTAAATGCAGTTTTATGTGCCAAAGGAAGACACTGGGAGGAAGAAAGCTGTGTTTTTAAAAGTTTCTAAGGGGCTATTCCAAAGTCAATGGAGAGTTTTATTAAAGCTTTTGCTGAAGCGTTTGTCTGCAAGCAGTGATTAAGTCTTCCAAGGGGGAAGAAAAAGAAAAAGAAAATAAAAGAAAGGACATGTCAGCATTCATCTGTCAGCCTATCTTTGGAACACAGAGAAATTTTGTTTCCTTTTCTTCCTCCTTAACTAACAAAGCATTTTAATGGGAATACTTTGAATTAAGGCATTGTATGGGCTTCTTCCATATGTGCTTTTTTTTAAAGGAGGAAAATAGAAATTGTCTTGTAATTCTCTCTGGATGTGCTTGACAGCAATAGTGTGTGTGTGTGTGTGTGTGTGTGTGGTTGTTGTTGTTTTTTAAATAAAGCAGTTGTAAAAGTTTTTGGAGTTCAGAACAAATTATTTTGTTAACTGTGGTGAATGAAGGGGGCAGCATTGAGAGGGTCGAGAAGGCAGACCTCAATAGCCTGATGGAAATTTTGCCAAACATGGTCTTGGGTGGTCAATGTGGCCACAGAGGTGCTGATAAAGGGGTGCAAGCCTCCCCCCAGTTGAAACTGCACAGAGAAGGTTGAGTTATTTTAACTTTTTGAAAGTATGAAATTATTGTTGTTAATTCGTATTTTTTTAATCATTTTAGAATATATATAATTTTTCAGTTTTTAAGTTTTAAGACAGAAAACCAACGGCACACAAAGATCGCATATACACAACGTTTGATCATTTTTATAAACCACTGCAAAGTTGTTGCTTTCTTCATAATCATTTGGGAATAGAGATGGAATCTGTTCTAAATAGATTTAAATAGATTTGATGATTCTGACCTGATCAAGCTTTGCCTGCATCAAATTATTCCTGCACCAGGCACCTTTTATGCTTGTGCATGTTTTATTTTATTTTTAAAAAATCAACTAATTATATGCAAAAATGTGCATATATTATATATACTGGTAATACATATAAAAAAGTGAAGCCCATGTAGCACTATATTTTTGTAGCTTAATTGTATAAGTATTAATACCTAAGTATTTTTATGCAGTTATATGCATTGTTGTCTGGTTAACTTCAGGAAACCTGGAGTTCATGTGCGTATAACATGCAAGTAACAATGTGTAGAATAATGCTGCATATAATATGCTATTATTGTACACATTTCATAATTCTTATTGTGATCAGGAAGCAAGGTGGCAATTAGATAAAATAGATGAGGATAAGCTTATCACTGAGATTTTCAGAAAATTCCATCCTCATTCAGTCACCTTCCTAAACTATTATTTTGTTGGCATACTACAGGATGTTTTGAATAACTTGGGCTCCTGTGACCTGGATGAGGATGACCTCATGCTCGACTTGGAATTCCTGGAAGAACAGCATCACAGGCGTTCTGGTAAGCCAGGCTGATGGGCCACATTTACAACCTGACTATTCCTTTTGAATGAGATTTTGCTGAGCGCAATTTTTAGGAAGTGAGTAGTAAAATAATATTTTTTTAAAAAAAGAAGGGAGAGTGGATTATATATTTAGCCATTTTATGGTCTGAATAACCTCTAGCAGTTGCTATACAGGATATCATTCTCTTCACTTGAGATGCTAATTTCTTGCTTAACCCTATTCATAATGATGCTATTACTGGAGATCAAGCTGTTTTTCTATGGATCACTTCCATAGGCCAGTTTTCAAATGGTGGACTTACTTACCTTGCAGAAGAAACCCAATTGCTTGGTAATTGGAGACACATTAGTATTCCATATGCTTTTAATGCCTAATGTCTAAAGGTCAGACCTTGAAAAACCATCTTCTTTCTTTTGGTCAACATTGTTATGTTGCTAAAACTTTTTTCTAACTTTTCCACTAATATTTTTTTAATTGGGGTCATAATATTTGAATTTCTGTTTCCCATTTAATTCTTGTTTTGTAACATTCGTTAAATTTTACCTGCTGTGCGTCGCTTCGGCCATCTCCAACTCCCAAAATAACATTCACACCCAAGCATGCCAGGAAGTATCTATTCTTATTTGAATGTTGCATTGAGCAATAATCTCCGATAGCAATATTAGTTGTGTCTAATCTCTTCCCAGTGGACTGGTTAATGTAGAGCCACCAGCTACCCCTGTCAAATCCTCAGCAAAATTGCCTCAGGTGGTGTTTGCTGGGCATGCACAACCACACAGTTTGCCTCTGTTTTATTTCTTTAATGGGTTCTAACTATATTACACCCAGGGTCACATAAACATGTCCGGGAAAAGGTAACGTTCCTTTGAGCCCGTAAGAGGGAGAACGGCAAACACAACCCTACTCATTAGTTCTGTGCAACTCTCTTAGCATCCTTTTTGTCTGGAAGCAGTTGTACAGCGATGATACATGGAGCCTCTTCTGATAGCAGATAATTGTTCTTCATCTCAGCACCATGAGTGATTGAATGCTCCAATCACACACTTGTCACAGAGATGCAGCAGAGGGATCTACTTCAGCAGAAGCAGAACCAGAGTAACAATGCAGCTTGCATTCCATGTCTTTACAGGACCACCTGCTCCCACCTTTATTTATTTTTGAGATTGAATACCCCAGGGTTGTTTTTAGACGCAGGCACACACCATAAAAACAACGTAAAGCACAACTAGGCTGCACAGAACACAAAGAAAAGCATAGCACAGACTCAACAAGGTCTAGGAAAATAACAAGGTTTTAACTTGATTCCAAAAGGTTAGACTTGACTCCAGGCAGGCCCCCCTTGATGTTCGGTTTCCCCATCACTTTCCTTCTTGCAAATAGGGTGATCTTTTGGCGAAGTGCATTGTACAAAATCACCCATTCAACTTTATTTGTGCAACCTGAATTTGCCCGTATGTGATTGATGCCCACCTGAAACTAGTGACAATCTGGAAGCACCCTAACTTTTGAAGTGCAGAGTAAAGAGGTCAAAAAGTAGAATTCCTTATGCATTAAACTTAAATAGCTATCTCTCTTGCTTTACACCTCACTGAAACTTTCAGCTCAAACAACAGCAAAAACATTTGGCTTGCATTTCGACTGGGTGGAGACTTTGGGACTCCTTCCACCTCCAGTAATAGGGATATTTCGAGAGGGAATTAATTTAAAACTTTGGGGGTGGGGCATGCCATCTGCTGGGGCAGCAGCATATCTTTTTCCCCCAGCTCTGCCTCCTGTGGTTTTGCAGCTTCTCTTGGCACAGGTTACTTTTGAGATTTCCTGCAAACAGGGCATTGATTTGTTGGGAGGTGAGGATTTTTCTTCAATGATAGGCTGGTCCTGTCCTAACCCCGCCCAACAACTTTTAAATGAATAGCCTGCATTTTATGGTCACCTATGCGGGTGGCGCTGTGGGTTAAACCACAGAGCCTAGGACTTGCTGATCAGAAAGTTGGCGGGTGAGCTCCCATTGCTCTGTCCCAGCTCCTGCCAACCCAGCAGTTCGAAAGCACGTCAAAGTGCAAGTAGATAAATAGGTACCGCTCCGGCGGGAAGGTAAACGGTGTTTCTGTGCGCTGCTCTGGTTCGCCAGAAGCGGCTTAGTCATGCTGGCCACATGACCTGGAAGCTGTACGCCGGCTCCCTTGGCCAATAAAGCGAGATGAGCGCCGCAACCCCAGAGTCAGCCACGACTGGACCTAATGGTCAGGGGTCCCTTTACCTTTACCTTGCAGGACTACTGTGGAAAATTAACAGTCTATTCTTTGTAAAGTTCTCTGTATGTGGCATGGGGGTAAATGCTGCTGTGTAGAAGTGCTAAATATTTACTTGGAATCCTTTGGTGCTTCTCACATTCTGTCAATACTGAAATGCTTAAAATTGAGCCAATATAACAGACATTATCTGCCTTAGGGAGTGCCTGTTTATTACACCACATAAATTAGAAGCTTACATGTTTCAAATGCACGAAAGGAATTGTCGTGACAGCTTCGTACAGCAGGTTACTGTTTTTATGGGATGGAAACCCATCAAGTGCTTGTGCAAAGAAGCCTAGCATTAGTTTAACCTTGTTTCTTCTAGCCCCCCTCCTATTTAAATGTGTCTTGTATAATGCAAAACATTGATTTCTGAACTGTGCCTATGTAAATGAAGAGCTCATACCTCAGTGATGAAAGGAAGGGACTATTCAAACAATTGTGTAAGGGTGGATATCATTTGTACATGGCCAGAACTCAATTACTATGCCCTCAAGTTTCAAAGCAAAAAGCTCTGGGTTCTCCTAATATGGATTAAGTAAAATAAAGTTAGCTGCAGTTCAGGTCCAACCTAGTTTGTTCTATGTGCCAGGAAAGGTAGGGATAAAAAAAGAATAAAATACTAGGGTTCTGGAATATGTGGCCTCAGGTATTGTTGGACTAGACCTCCCATCATCCTTGACTATTGGCACTGCTAGATGGAGCTGATGGGAACTGGAGTTACTTGGAGAGCCATGGATTCCTCACTATTGAAACACATCTAAGTGAGGCATGATCACAGTAGATATTGCCTCTTAATGCACTTAACAAAAAGTAAAAAGAAGTCGTTGAACAAATCTGCCCTGCTCACTGTTTTGTTTTCCAAAATAGTGGTTAGTTCAAAATTAAAGCAAAAGCTTTTGATCTCCAAAAAGGCATGAGAAAGGGGGAAAGGGGAAGGAGGGTTTGCTAGCTGAGGCTCACCACAGCTCTTCTCATAGCAGAAAACAATTATTTCCCACTGTAGCTCAACCTGGCCAGAACCTCTTAAGATGAAAGGGATATGTTCAAAAGGGAAGCTTCTGGGATTCTAAAAATCCCAGGGGGACTCTAAAAATCTCTACTGAATTGCCCAAGGGTTAAATTAAGCTTTAAGTAAAGGGGAATCATTCTTTTTATAGTGCAGTAGATTAGATTGTGTATCCAGCTAAATAAACCCAATTATCTTCTGATCCAGCTCTACCTTTATGCTATCAGATAACAGGGAGGGGGGGATAATATAAAGTTGTGCATGCAGTCTAATTGATTAAATGCATGTTTTCTAGTCTTGGGCAGCACAACTGAACCCAGTGCAACTACCGTAACTACCAAGTACATGAACACAGAATTGCAGGGCATGCTCACAAGCACTGGAATTGCAGCCAGCTTTGCCTGTGGAACTTGTATATAAAAATTTTAGCACTCTTTGTGGCATTTTTAATGACAATAAATAAATAAATAAACATTAAATGAATCTGGGGGTTTCTTGCTTTAAAGTTTAGTGTTGTGCCACTGTGTCCATTTAATAACACAGTATAATGAGCTGGCAATGTAAAATGCCAGTGAAATAATTAAGGTCTCTGGGTTATTCTTCTGCCAGGTGTTCATATAATAGGTTTCTCCCACTCCTTTAGGCACATGGTAGGACAGAAGTGCTGGTTTTTTTTAAAAAAGGTTTGTGCTGTCCAGACCAACAAATTCCAGCAATTCCTTATTAACAGATCACTGAGAGATTCATAAAAAAAAAGGATGCCTTAAACTGGCCTGCTTGGTGGCTCTGAGGACATTATGAAGCACTAAAATTGCATTGCAATTAACTGTTCCTTTCACCTTGCTTTGGACCATATTATTCTGCTCCTGTTGAGGACCAGCTCTTGTTTTGATGGGGTCTCAGTGGGCCCAACTGCTCCTCACTGTGACCAGCTTTCCTTTTGAGAGAGCCAATGGCTATCAGGGGCAGCTGATCATTCTCCTCAGCTGTGGCTGCTTTATTTCCTGCAAGAGCAGGTGGATGAACAAGTAAAGAGGCCAGACTGGGCCTAATCTTCATTGCCACCAATAAGGGAAACTGAGTGGTTGTGGACTCTGTTGCTGTTTTCTTCAATGCCGCTCGTTCTGTTCCTGCAGTCCATAGAATGTGGATCATCAGGCAACTGCTAGGTCCCAGTATTCCAGCAGGGTCCACTGCTAATATCTGCTCTGGGCCCACCCTTAAAGCAAAATTTTTTCAGTGGACAATTTAAGTCTGGGATCCCTTCTTAAAATTTACCAGAATGCCGCAGAATGATTCTTCATTGGAGTCACTGCGAGAAATTATAATGGCGGCTACATTGGAGGGCTTCTATTGGCACCTGCTGTTCCCATCTCCAGGTAAGCCTCTTGGAGTTGCCAGCTGATGAAGGAGGGTCTCACCAGAGAACACTTTGCTGAGGGTCCCCTCAACTTTGAACTGGCTCTGCACTCATCAGAGAGCTGAGCCTGTCGGCAGCTCCCACTTAGCTTTCTTGCGCTTCGCTGTATGAAATAGTCGGATGTTGTTGGGAACATGTAAAAATAATAAATAGTTGAGTGATTAAACAGCAAAATAACTCTCCTATAAACTGCAACTGTAGTTTGCACTGCTTCAGAGAGCCACATTAATCACCAGGCAATAACTATCTTTGGCCTATTAGAAGTGGGTGAGATATTTTAAATGTAACACCCCCCCCCCCCGTTTTAATGCATCTATGTGGGGTTGCTTGTAAGTTGCTTTGGAAGAACACACCTACCGGTATATGTTTCAGCCCAGTGGCACAAATAGCAGCTGCAGTGAGATGATTTTGTGTTGCAGTGTTATGTTAAACATAATCTGATCCCGCATTTAAAAATGAAACAGTGGGAGGTCCAGTTATGACCCCCCCCCCCCAATTCTCCTTTTCTGGCAAGTGGGGATTTTTAAAAGTAAATTTGTTTAGGATTTGGATGTTATTCAGTTTAATAACTGGCAGTAACAATAGCAATAAAATTTACTTTTGAAAGGAAAAGTTTTATTGGACATCCTGGGAGAAATCTTATAAGCCAAATATCCCCTAGGCCGCTGTCTGTTGGTATACAGCCAAATGAAAGTGTTGGCGTAATGACCCAAGGATGTCAATTAGGAATTAATTAAGGAGTTGCTAAATTATTTTTGAGCCTGATGAACAAGGCTGGGTAGAGAATGCTGCAGTGATTTAGGGGTTCCTTCTGCATCTATAAATTAAACCTGGCAGTATTTGTTAATGTTTCTAGTGAGGAAGAGCGCAACTGAACTGCAACGGAACCCCAGTGGCTTTGACTATGAAATGTGTCTCCAGAAGAAAACATTCCAGAACTTAATAGATTGCTTAAAAAGACAATTGAGTTATGTTGTTGAATAAACAGCAGAGTGGGAATGTGGAGAGAGAATAGAGTAGAATGAACACAGTTGCACAAGATTTCATCAAACTCTAGTGTGAGAAAAGACAAATTTGGAATGCATTTAATAGGTTATGGGGCAGGACCATATAAACAGAAGGAGGCTTTGGTAAGCCCCATTATCCCTTGGCCTAAACAACCCTCTCTCATGTGCAGCTTGGGGAATAATATGAATAGGGTTGGCTGGCAGTGTATATTATGGACTTTTAATGCTGTAAAGTGGTAGGGAACCATTAAGACACCTTGTTAGGCAGGACTTTGGGAAGGTTTGCCGTATGGAGCTGCTCAGATAATTTTATTGCCTGCTTTTACATCTTCCTGAGGTTCTGTTTTTTTATTGCAAAATTTCGCAGTGCTTTTTAAAAAAAATGATTTTTATGTAATATATTTCTGCTCTGGGACCGTATGGTGAAGGGCAGACTGTAAATAAGGTAATGCCTGAATTTATGTCAAGCATTTCTATTTGTCATGGCAAGCCAAAATAGCCACCCTTGGGCTAGAGAGTATCCTGTGGCCATCTAGACATTGGACTACGGATCCCATCAGCCTCAGCCAGTATGGCCAGTGGTCAAGAATAGTAGGAGTTGTAGCTCAGCAACACCCCTGCTCTGTATCCCAACATGTCTTGAACATCACCTATGCAACACAAGCAAGAAAATTTAGTTAGGGCCACTTAGATTTAACCTATTTTTAGTAATCAAGGTTGTACTGCCTCTGAATCTGGAAGATCCATCCTAGCAATAAAAGCTAATTGCTATTGACAAAATTTGGCATAGGAGTAGATGTGATTGTAGCTTCTTTTCACAATTTAAAACAATATTTTTAAGTACTAGTTTTCAGCGATATTCCAGATGGAGACAGTTACTTGGCTGATGATGAGTCTAGTTGCATTCCAATACTAGATACATGAGCCTCAGTCTATGACATCACTTTCCCAGTCATTTTTTGAATTACAGGGTTGCCATATTTCAAAAAGTAAAAACCAGGACACCCCCAAAATTGTTGAGCTAAGATCCAGGACAAAGTGGACATTTTCCTTTTGGATATTCCAGATGTATGGCAGCCCTAGGATACAAGGTCCAGCAAAATTGACCCAAGTAATAAATTCATGCATAAGTTATCTGGATGCTCTTCTAAGTGAGCAGCAGTTGTAGTGCAGCCGTTAACATTGCAGGGAATCGTGATATAATAATTTCACTATTCACACAGAAGTACTTTAAGCAAGCTATAAGGATAGAAGGAGTATAGCCATATCACAGGTCAGAAAACAATACAGCAGGAGGAAATAATCTGCCCTGGTTATTGTGGTGCAATTAGATATGAAATACGCATCTCAATATAAAAGTTTTACGATTATAATTTGACTTTGTGATGCAGTATCTTGATTAACACCAGTATTATCACCTGTCAATTACTAAAAAGCAATGCAGTAATTAAGTCAAGCAAATGCTATTGCAGCCTTCTGGAGGTATAGTATGCCTGGGTATTTTAAGGAGTTCAGCAAAAGCAAAGATCCATTGAGATGAAAAATATAATCTTCACAGGTGCCCTGGGGCAGAGAAGAGAGACACTGTAATGAGCATCTCCCTCATTACGACAAATTAAGATACAACCACATTTGCTTAAAACAATTGCAAAGAGTTTTCAATTTTTTGGACAATAAACTTTTAAGAGCGTACCAGGTGCTAATACACTTTGTATCTTTCCCAGCTTGGGGATTTATAAAGAGCTAAGACAGCCTTTCTCATCTAAATGGAAATGCCCAGAAGCTGATTTGGTACTAAAAAGTCAGCTATCGGTTCTCAATAGTATGTATAACTAGAGAAGTTAAAATATGAACTTCATAGTTGCTAGAATTAATTTGCTTTTTACTTTCCAACACAGTCATTCTTAATTTATGGCAAAACATTCTGTTATCCCCTTTCTGCTTTACACTGTTCTGTTCGGATGGGAATATCCTAAACTCTGCTGTGCTCGGGGAAACATTTTGTGATAATGGATTAATACTGAATTATTATTCTTAATGTTCCTGTTTCATCCTGAAGACAGCTTGCAATATATATTACATATTCTGAAGAAGGGTTTTCCCCCCCTCCTTTCAAGTTCTAGTAAGAAAATCCTGGGGTAAGAAGCCATGGTCTGTCTGGATACAAAGCAGCTTCGTGTGCTCATACATTCAGCATTAAAATAAAGAAATTACTATTTTTCTCTGAATAGGCTTTCCCAGATGTCATTGGGCTACAGTTACTATCATGTCTGCCCACTGACCATGCTGGATGGGATGATGGGAATTGTAGTCCAACAATATCTACTGATCATAGGTTCGAGAAGGCCGCTGAAAATGCTCAAGCTCATAACTGATATTAGGTAGTACTTTTTGCACAACTCACATCATTACAAAATGCTGATTTATTTTTTTTAAGGGAGTAGACCAGGCTTCCTCAACCTCGGCCCTCCAGATGTTTTGAGGCTACAATTCCCAGCATCCCTAACCACTGGTCCTGCTAGCTAGGGATAATGGAAGTTGTAGGCCAAAAACATCTGGAGGGCTGAGTTTGAGGAAGCCTGGAGCAGACAAATTCATAGATGATAGATCTTTTTCAGAGCAATCTTACCCATGTGTTCACAGAAGTGAGGTCCATTGTAAGTGTGTAGGAATGCAGCCTTAATTATTTTTAGCTGTAAGCTCTAGACACCAGCAACAGGTAAAGGAGATGGCTGTCCCTGTCACAAGCCACTTGTGAGATTTCCAGGGGCATTCATCACCACCAAACCTTATAAGACTTAAAGAGGAAAGGGATAAAAGCTAATAGTTAAAGGTGATTATAACTCACATAAAACAGAAACAAAAGACAAGTCGTTAAAAGTGACTATAAGGGAGGGGCATTTGATTGGCCCCCTGCTTTAAGGCAGGAGTGGGGAACTTTTGGTCCTCCAGATTTTGCTGAACTACAACTCCCATCAGTCCTAGCAAGAATGGGCAATGGCCAGGGAAGACGGGAGTTGCAGTGCAGCAACATCTGGTGGGCCAAAGCCTTCCGAAACACACCTATTTAAAAGGCTTATGTTACTTTATGAATTTATGCATTTTTATCTATTTGTCTGTTGTAAGCCACCTATGACATTTGCAAAGTGCTGTACCACATATAAATGAAGTAAACAAATAAATCTGTCTAGTGGTCTTAGATTTTAGAGGTTCTGTCTAAAATAATTGGTCTTAATTAGGCTTGATCCATTAACTGTTTTGCTGAATTATTTAGATGGCAGTTACTCATTTGTTACTTATTAACTCACTTAGCTATCAAGATCATAGTGTCTTTGTGCAGTTATTCCTACAATCACAAAGTGTCTGACTGAAGACGTAGGGTTGCATCCAACATATTCATATTCACAGTATGAATTAGTCAAATACTATCCTTATAGTCTGATGAAATGTGCAAACTTATGGATTAGTTTTTTTCAAGGAATGAATTTCATTCCCTTGCCTTATAATGACAGGTGTTTTTTTACTAAAACATTTCTTTTCCAAAAGAAGAAACCTGATTTAATAGGCAGTAGAATGCCTGCTGTCTTCGCCTTAACTACCCACATATTCAGCCATGAATGCAGTACTTCTGGCAAATAATAATTTTCTACATCGAAAGTCAACTCATTCTCATCCAGTAAACATTTGAGGGGGAGAAATATATTCAAGCCACCCGCTTCACATAGACTAGGCAATGGCTCATTAAATAGCAACATGGTACAGAGTTTGTTTCAGGAAAGAGAAAGGGAAATATTCTTGTCTCCATTAAAAAGAACATAATGGAAATCTGTATAAAGACATGTTAAAGCACCGTAACTGAACACCGCCAACACCGTCAAAGTGAAATAAGCTGAAAAAAATCCCAGTAGTAAAGATTCAATATTTTATTTACACAGATGCCCACACACTTATATAGATATAGATTATATATACACACATGGGAGCTAGCTAGATGTAGAGTGTCACTAGTAAAACAAGAGACTCTGGAACTATTCTGTTGTGAAGCAGCCAGCAATCGACCAAGGAAAAGACTCCCCCTGCCTCAGGAAGTTTATGTGGGTAGAAAGAGGTTTTACATGACATTCACATCCCAGGATGACTCACCTGACCCTCAAAATGTTGAGTTTCTAATATGTGAATTGAGTTTCTAGGGTGTGAATTTCATATAAGATCTCTTCCAACCAATGTATAACCTGTAGGGTGACTCTTGGGTGCCTGGTCAATTGCTGACTGATTTGCAATAGATTGGTTCCCAAGTCTCTTGTCATACCACTGACACTCTGCATCTAGCTGACTCTCTTGTGTGTGTATATACCTAATCTATGTGTGCAGAGGTGTCTGTCTAAATAGAATATTAATCTCAGAAGCATGCTGGAGGTAACATCTAGTACTACAGGTAGTGCTTTTTCCCTAGAAAAATAAGTGCCAGTACTCACCATGAAGTTGTTACGCTAAGTGCCACACCTTTAACAACAAAAAAGAGAGATGCCGGTACTGCATACCCTTGAGCACCCCCTAAAAAAAAAGCACTGACTACAGGTATGATTTGTTATGATACAATGGGTGGTTTTTTGCCTATTGTATTATAACAAATGATTTTTTGTTATGATTTTGTTATTGTTTCTTCCACTTACATTTATGTTAGATTAATGATACTTCAATGATTTTTTTGTGCGGGGTCAGACTTAAATGCATGAACTTCTATCCCTAAATTTAACGATGAAAATACAAGGTGCAGATTGTGCATGAAGGTAAAGCTTAGAAAGGTGGCTGTCCTCAATTTGTTTGAGGAAGAACCAGGGGTAAGCAGATTCCCTTTGCCAGTTCCAACAAGCTAAACATCATCTGCTCCCTGGGTGGTTTCCTCTGCTCTTGCTTATACTAGGATAGCCCCAGTGGTTTGCCTGGGTACATTGGGTCCCAGCTAGTGGAATTATGGTTTGTAGGAGTACACTGGGTGACATCTGATGGAAATTGTCCACCAGATCAAAAACAGGTGGTATGTACATATATGCATGGCCTAGATTTTGAACTTTTCCCATGGAGATGTTTTCAACAGTAACAAGAGCATTCTATGTAATGAAAATATATTTATGTTGAAATAAAGAAAGACATGCAGCTTTTATGTAGAAAAATGGCATTATTTTAGATCCATAAAAGAGCGTACCTTGTAATTTTAGAGGGGATATTGAACATATAAACCCCAAACACTGATATTCAGTTCATTTCTTTTATATCATCTCCTAGTAGGTTGATATTATATTAGAACTATAATAATGCTTGCAAGCTATTGCAGTTTATATTTGGATTATGTTTGCTTTGACTGTAAAGGGTTTGGTATAGACTGTAATACTGGTGGGTTATGGACCAGACACAATAATAATTCATTTTCTGGGATTCCTGCTTTTGAGACTTCACTGCTTGTCTTATACTCTAAGTCTCAAAGTGTAATATCCACTTGTATCCAAGGGTTGGCAAATACCTGGAATAGATAGGCAAGGAAAGTCAGCAACAGATTAGTTAGCTAATCTGACAGTGAAGGAAAAGAGAGGAGGGGGAAACAGGGGGAGGAGTTCCTCACATTGAGAGTGCATATGTGCACAAGCACATAACTGATCTAGAAGCACTGTAGCAGACACTAGCATAGAATTTGTTGTCTGCTGTTACCTAAGTTTTTTGGTTAGACACCTTCCCACTTTGAATTGCCTGCATTTCTTCTTCTGAAGCTCCACGTGGATGACATAGACATCAGGAAACCAGTTCTGGGCCTTCAGGGCTCCTAGTCTCCCACATAACACATAACACCAAGTACTTGAGATGAATAAGATGACATCTCCACTATTGCTAGCCCATTACCTAGCTTTTGTTGACTTGAGTAATTTGATATTAAGAGCAGCGCATTTTCAGGCTTGTCTTCATGTGTGTGCTGCTTCAAGCCCATTGATCCTACTTGGAATGGAATTCCATTCAGTTTTTCTGGTAAGATTCTAGAAGTCATTGGCCTTTCTCCATGTTCTAAGTCTCCCACCACCCACTTCTACAGCTGTGGATGTGGCCAATAAAGCCTGCTGTTTCCCATGTGATCGTGATTCTTTATTCTCCATTGGGAACCTCAACCTCGTAAGTAGCCGTTTGGTGATAAGTACTGGCTGTACTTTTAGACTACATGTTGATGATGTAGTTCTGTGCATACAAACTGAACTGGCAAAGAAAGACCTCCTGTACTAGGGAAACAACATCTGTTTGATGGTGGAAATCTGTGAGTACTTGGACTGGAGATATTCACAATCTTGGATTTGGTCTGCTGCCACCATTCAGTCAGTCATTACCTGCACACTTGCTACCTCAGTCATCATAATTGTACAAGTGTGTAGTTCAGGCATAGGCAAACTCGGCCCTCCAGATGTTTTGGGACTACAGCTCCCATCTTCCCTAGCTAACAGGACCAGTGGTCAGGGGTGATGGGAATTGTAGTCTCAAAACATCTGGAGAGCCGAGTTTGCCCATGTCTGGTGTAGTTACTAACTGGTGAACTGCCCTTTGCTGATATCAATTACTCACATCTGTCTGCTTGCACAGTGCTGCCTCAATAATTGTTTTCTGTTGGTTTCTGGTGTGGACAGGAATTCCATTCCCTTTATGACTTTTCTGTAGCGAAACCAAATAGTTTAATGGCTGTTGTTTGAGAAATTTGCCTTTCCCCAATTGCCAAGTCTTATATGTGTCTCAATTGTGTGTGTGTAAATATTGCCCATAGTTGAAAGCATTAAAAAAAATTCTTGCCTTTTGAAGTAGTGGGAAATCACTACAGCAGATGAAATGTCTCTGTGCAGTTATGAAATGAATGAAATGTTAAGTGGGAGGCTAATATCTACATTGAGGAAATGATGACGCAAAAGCTGCTATTTTTGTACAGTAGATTTATCCTCTGGTAGTGATGGTGAAACTGTCTTGCTTTGAATGGCTCCTGACTTGGCATTTGTGGACATAATCTGTGAATGTTCGAAAAATAGTTGTTGTTTTAAATTGGCTCTGTTGTACTTTTGGAAGGACAATGTATTTTGTCATGTTGTTGGAAACAGATACCTCCCAGCCCTAATGAGGAACGATTGAGGGAGTTGGGTATGTTTAGCCTGGAAAAGTGGAGACTGAGAGGAGATATGATAGCCATCTTCAAATATCTAAAGGGCTGTCACATGGAAGATGGAGCAAGCTTCTTTTCTCTTGCTCTGGAGGGCAGGACCTAAACCAATGGATTCAGGTTACAAGAAAGGACATTCTGACAGTAAGCTGTTTGACAGTGGAACGGACTCTTTCGAAAGGTGGTGGACTCTCTTTCATTGGCAGTTTTAATGCAGAGGCTGGATGGCCATCTTTTAGGGATGCCTGAGTTGAGATTCCTGCATTGCAGGGGGTTGGACTAGATGACCCGGGGAGTCTCTTCCAACTCTACAGTTCTCTGATTTTTTAATCCACTCCACCAATCACTCCTCATAATACTTGGGAGCTGCTGTAGATGGTGTTCCGATGCAATCAAGGCTTATTCACTGCAGTTGGATCTTGACGGGTGGGGTGAGGGGCAGAGATCACATGCAGGCTCTGAGGGACAAATAGACCACAGCATTCAAAGAGGAGGAGGAGAAGAACAAGAAGAAGAAGAAGAGAGTTTGGATTTGATATCCCGCTTTATCACAACCCAAAGGAGTCTCAAAGCGGCTAACATTCTCCTTTCCCTTCCTCCCCCACAATAAACACTCTGTGAGGTGAGTGGGGCTGAGAGACTTCAAAGAAGTGTGACTAGCCCAAGGTCACCCAGCAGCTGCATGTGAAGGAGCAGAGACGTGAACCCGGTTCACCAGATTACGGGTCTACCGCTCTTAACCACTACACCACACTGGCTCTCAGCACATTTCTTTCATATTTTGAATTATCTGCAAAAGTCTGTTCATAATTCTGAAGTCCCAGGGTGATGGTTCAACAGCATTCTATGCACATCTGGTTTTCTAAATATACAACATCTATAGATATTTGGCTTCTTAGATGATGGGATACTTGCATTAATGCTGGAAGATGCCAACACACTGCCTGATATAGGTATGTTAGTACAATTGTCTATGTGGCGGTTTCAAGCTCAGGCTGGTTGTTATTCAGGTTGCTGTTCCTGTTGCCTGCCATGCTAGCTCCTATGGCAGTGTACAGTTAAGTCTTACACACATGAACTAGTGCTTGTCAGATAATGAGCTAAATGTTAAAAGACCAAGAGTGCTCCTTTCTGTCCAGTCCCTCAAGAGGAAGATGACTCTGTTATCAAACCCTTGTAGTGACCTTATCCTGATTTTCTCATACATATTTATTGGTGTTCTAGTGGTATTCTGAAAGGATTATCTCCTGTCACATTTTTAATGCTGTCTGCTGGTGAACACCTTTTAATTGCAGATATTAATTTGCATTCAAATGGGAGGCATCTGGTTCAGCTTTGAAGTAAAAGACAATTTACAAGCTTTCCAAATGGATAATCTGGCACAATTTCATGAAACTTTATTTATTATTTCAGATAGGCGGAGGCAAGATGAATACAATTGTCAGATTATATCCTCCTTGATTTCTAATTAACAAAGTTATGTTTTTGTTTATTATTATTATTAGGGTTGCACTGAATGTTCACCTTGAGCCTGAACTTGTGAGTTTTTTAGGGAATGCTCCCCACTCCTAGGTTAATCCTTCTGTTGGCAAGTGTTTGTGGCCAAATGGTTTTTCATTCTGCTGCTGATTTTCAGCCAATTTTTTCCTGTTTGATTTCTCTGCTGACTGGGATTGCCAGTTAGGAATCATGTACTGAATGTGATGATGTTACTGCGCAAATTAACCAATCAAATCTGACTGTGTTCTGATGGCAGTATGGGCAAATGAAACCCATGAAGACTGAGGACAGCTGTTTTTGAAGGATACATCAGGGATCACACATTTTCACAGCCCCGTACTTATCACAAGGGTGAATTTTCTGCACAAGTAGATTTTCACAAAATAGGTCCTCCTTTGGACTCAGTCCCATAATCTCCAACATGGTGCAGTGGAAAACCCATCTTTTGGAGCACACTCCCGTGCAAGAGTATGCCCCACCCCCCAAGATGTTCCAATTTAATTTAATTAGTTGGGGACATGCAGTCCTGACCCATTATGCTGTGAAATTACAATATATCCATTCTCTGTTCTTTAGAAGCTTCATGGCTTATAATCTTGAGTAATTGATTCATTTAATGCAGCTGCAAAGTTTGACATGCATGTAATTTTACATGCATGTATAATTGTATGGGGGGGGAATAACTCATGGTATCAGCTCATGAGATTTTCTTTCTTACACTTCAGGCTAAGTGCATCTATATTATTGCAACCTACCATATGCATCATCCCCCCCACCCCCCGCATAACAGCCACAGATAACATTTGTAAGTAGAAGTAGGCAGCAACTATCAAATATACAAATACATGCTTTGCCAAGTAGCATGCAGATGCTTATGGTAATTTAGTTGTTTAATATGCATTGCCAGGATTTCAAAGAAAATATAGACAGCAATGAATTTTGCAATTTTAACTAAGGGTAAAAGGTAAAGGTAAAGGGACCCCTGACCATTAGGTCCAGTCGCGGACAACTCTGGGGTTGCGGCGCTCATTTCGCTTTATTGGACGAGTGAGCCGGCGTACAGCTTCTGGGTCATGTGGCCAGCATGACTAAGCAGCTTCTGGCGAACCAGAGCAGGGCACGGAAACACCGTTTACCTTCCCGCTGGAGCGGTACCTATTTATCTACTTGCACTTTGACGTGCTTTCGAACTGTTAGGTTGGCAGGAGCAGGGACTGAGCAACTGGAGCTCACCCCGTCGTGGGGATTCAAACCACCAACCTTCTGATTGGCAAGTCCTAGGCTCTGTGGTTTAACCCACAGTGCCACCCGCATCCCTAACTAAGGGTAGCAGGACACAAAGTTATCATGAAAAATCAAACCAAAGGATGAATTTACCATTATCAACTTATACCTAACAGATCACCTACACTGAGGCCTCATCAAATTGTTCATATACGTACCCATCATGTATATTCTAAACCTATTGCACTACTTTTCCAAACCCATGATCAAATGCAGACATAGCTCTAAATCAGGCATAGGCAAACTCGGCCCTCCAGATGTTTTGGGACTACAACTCCCATCATCCCTAGCTAACAGGACCAGTGGTCAGGGAATTGTAGTGCCCAAACATCTGGAGGGCCGAGTTTGCCTATGCCTGCACTAAATCATGGTTTATTGTCACAGGAACAAGTCTGCTGAAGCCTCAACCTCACATTCTTTCCCTTCCCCTCTGTGCACTTGATAAGGAGTCAGCGAGTTTCCATACCAATAAAAGTTCCCTGTGAAATCCAAATTGAGGTTTATTCTAACTATGATTACTTCAGTTCCCAGAATCTCCAGACAGGGCTGGGAAAAACCCTTCCTGAAACTCTGGAAAGCCACTTCCACAGTGTAGACAATATTCAGCTAGGTAGATTAATGGGATAACTCACTGCAAGGCGGTTTGCAATACTTCTGTTCTATGCTGTTTTAGTATTTCTCTGTTGACTGTGGTTTTTGTCATCAAAATAATTGTGTTTGTAACATGCGTTTGGAAATGTTGAATAAGGAGCATGAAAAACATTTTGAAAATGCATCCGTCGATATAAATGGATGACTTTGTTGCATGCTGCGGTTTGAAAAACGAGACGTCTGAAGATATGTGAAGGGTTTCAGCTAAACTTCATGAACAGTTGTTGAGCTAGCTGTAGATAGCAAGTTTGATCCAGTGTGAGAGGTGTGTGTGTGTGTGTGTGTTTATTTTTAACATATGCTACATTCTTGTGTCAGGGATTGTATAAAAAAAATGTGAAATGCACAAAACGTATGCCTAATTGGGCATTTTTTTTAGATCAGACCACACTTTCATAACAATGGCTGTCAGGAAGCATGAAAAAGTATTCCTCTGTTGCTTAATTAAGCCTTGAGCTTTAGTAAGAAAAGTAGCCAAACAATTAATTAATGATTAAAAATTAACTGTGTGTTCTCTCTATTGATTTATGTGGATAATTAATATAGCAGCATTATAAGGTGTACACTGTCCTTCGCATAACTGTTGTAATAGATGAATGTTTTGCATGAAATTAGTTAAAATCAGCATTAATATTTCTGGTACAGAATCATGGAAATGACAGCATGTAAGTACAAGGTGCCATATTCTTCATTTTATGTCTCTGTGTGCATCAAATATGTGTGTTGAAGAATTTGAAAAAGGAAGCTGCTTTTATTTCTTTAAAGATCTGTCATACTTTTTCATGAGGATAAATTATTCGGGTTTGAAATGCTACTTAAAATTCCCCAGATGATGAGAATATTTCTAAGAGACTTGGGTCAGGTGTATGCTACGTCGCACCAGTTAACATCATCCAGAGGTTACAATTCAGTGGAGGTGAAGACTATGTAAGTTGATGGTAGATAATACTGTTTAAAATGAGATGTAGAAAGCTCAGGAGAAGTTATTGCAAAGGGGGGGAAATCAATAGACAGGGAGATTGGTTTGAAAATCTCTTCTATTTTAAACTTCTCTGATTTTCCAGATTTGAACGAATACACCACAGAGTATCTAATAACAGCAAAAATTATCACAATGGTATTGCTCAGCACCTGAAATGTAATTGCACTGCAATGTTCAGCTATGTGGGCATAGAAAAACACCACACACACACACACACACACACACGGACACACACACACGGACACAGCTCTACTTAGGGCAGAGCTTAATTTTCATATTGGTGACACACTTTTTAGACATGCGTCATTTTGCGACACAGTAATTCAGTTTTACTAGCAAGACGGAGGTTAAACTAAGCCAGGCTTCCTCAAACTTGGCCCTCCATATGTTTTTGGCCTACAACTCCCATGATCCCTAGCTAGCAGGACCAGTGGTCAGGGATGATGGGAATTGTAGTCTCAAAACATCTGGAGGGCTGAATTAGAGGGAGCCTGATAACCTCTTTCCAGCCCCTACACGCAACACACCTACACGCTGTAGCCATCATACTAATGTGTCATGACACACAGTTTGGAAAGCTCTGGCTTAGGGCCTAATTAAGGAAATTTCTTTTCTCTTAAGCAGGTGCTTAAATTTGATACTTTCAAGGCAGGATGAGCCCGTGAGTGGCCTGTCTTTGAGTACATTGACTGCTTTCTCACATTAGCACTAAGTCATTGTTTAAGTATGGTTTCTTCAACAAACTATGCACCATCTCATAGAAGGAGCAAGCAAGCCACAACTTGTTTCTCCAAAGGTTGTTATCCCACCATTCTCCTTTCTTTGTGCCTTTGCAGATTGGTGAGCATTTGGGGTTGGGTGGTCAAGCAAACAGTAGTGAAGCAATGCTGTTGCTCTCATACATAATACCAAACCATAGTTAAAACAAACCATGGTTCAGTTGTGAACATGGCTCATTAGGCTGTGGCATGATCGGACCATATGTTTTAATGAATTTCCTTTGTTTAGACCACATATGAGTTTGATAATGAAATCATTACCGAATGTGTATCTTTATTTAGCAACTTTGTTTTGATGCTTTTCTTTTTTCAAGTTGTATTTAATATGAATAAGACTATGGGACAATCGTTCCTTCTCTTCAGTCTGTTTACCCCACAATACACATTGCATAGAATGGATGGCCTTTGCCCTACATTATGAATGACAGTCAATGTTGCGAGCTGTCTTCTATTTGAAGGGCTGTCCAGTCTTGGGCCAGATCATTCTGTTTCCTTTTTGTATCAGTTCTACATGTGCTCCATCATAGCTCTCCTGTAATGGATTTTTTTAAAATGCATGAACAATTTGCAATTAGATTGAACGCCTTGTGTATACATTCTTCCCCTAAGATACACATTTCATATGGCTTTCCATGCATTGCCTCTTAAATACACACTTTTGTCTGCATACTGTATTAAAATACCAAAACTACATCACAGAATTCAGAGAACTTCATAAGCCTATTCATAGTTGGGTTCCTATCTGCGTATAAGTCTGGGGCGAGCGGATTAGGCCTGTTTTATTTAAAATGTAAACTGAACAAATTTATCTTCTATCCACAGCCCAACCCAACTCCATTTTAAAGGTAAATGAAAAGGATTGCCCCTTATTTCTGAATATTCCAGCCTAATATAAATGAGCACGCAAATTCTTTCAGAAGAAATCAACTCCATAGAACCTGGCAGATTGCTGCTTAGGATCAGTTAGAGTACACAATGACAATTATTATTATTATTATTATTATTATTATTATTATTTACTTATACCCTGCCCATCTGACTGGGTTGCCCCAGCCACTTTGTGAAAGTGAATGTTCACACGATTAATGGGTTTGTCACTAAACATTTCCGAGCCTGTCCACCCAAAACCACTGTTTCCAGCCAGGAAATTGGGAAATATTCAGGGCAACTCTAGGTGTAATAAGATGTGTAAGATTTCTATAATTTGGAACATTTTGCAATCACCTTTAAAATTTTTCTTTTAAACTGCTGTTCCTTGGACAAATGTCAAGTATCAGTTTTAGACATGTTCCTAAATTCCAATCATCTAAGATGGTAATTGCACACTAGAGATTAAATCATGTTCTTATAAGTAGAGGTTTAGTGAACTAATTAGTAGTATGTTCCTAAATAAGTTCCAATAATGTGTGTGATCATGCGCTCCAAAATGCAGCTAAATGTGTTTCAATGAGGTCCAGTTTAATCTGGGCAATTAAATTGTTAGTAGATTCAGCTTGTGCATTATAAGCAAAGAATGTTTCTGGTTGCCCATTGGAAATATTGAGACTGGGGAAGTATGTGAAGTCACATGTATTTGTGGCTTGGCTCGTTTTCGGATTCACAAAGACTTAGATGGCTTGAAAAGTGGTACAACATGTAAAAAAATAATGTGTCTGTGGTTTCTTTCTTCTTCTTTCTTATAGTAGGCAAATGGGCTTGAGCAATTAAAAAAGAATGATTTCTAGCAACCATTAGGCACAGTTGCAGGAAAGTCCTGAGAAACAGGCCAAAATGGGGCAGGGGGAGACCTTTCCCAAGGGTAAAAATACATAGTTGCACCACAGAATCATGATGTCCACAGCAATTTGGCAGAATTCCTTCTTATTTGGGCTCAGAGCTTTAATATACCACAGACACATATAGCTCACTGGCAGGGATTATGTCCCCCCCACCCTTTCATAATGAGCAGGCCACAAAACATCTCACAGAAAACGATGCTGGAAACATTAAACTGTGACATCTTCCTGCATAATAATAGCTTGATGAAACGTAATCAGGGTTGTCTTTTTCCTATGCTGCCAAACCAGAAGCACCAGCATCACATTATCCCAGGACCTACCAACCCTTTAATGATATATCTGCTCTAAGCTCCATTACATAATGATGTGACATTTTGATAGTTTAATGCTAAGTTGTTCTTCTGTACTAGCTGAGTACTGAAGAGGAAAAAGCCCTGTTGGTTGTGTGCAACGTATGGGAGATCTCAATGTGCATAATGTGGGTGTGCTTCCCTGTTCTTTGGATCACACCATAGAAATGTTTTTAATGAATTCTTGTGCAATTGTATATTGCCACTGGTAAACCTGCTGGCAAAGAGCTGAGCTGCACTGAACTGGGGTAGCTCCTAGTGCTATCCGTCATGGCTGCAGTGTGGCCAGGTGTGTCACAACCTCATGTGTGGTTGACTGCACAAATTTCCTCTATCTGATTGACAGACTGTCTCCTGATGGAGTTTTGATGAAAGGGGAGAAACCAAAGCAGTTGCTCCACGTCACTGTATAGTTGAGGTACTGAACTCTCTCTCTCTCTCTCTCTCTCTCTCTCTCTGTGTGTGTGTGTGTGTGTGTGAGAGAGAGAGAGAGAGAGAGAGATGGAGGTACTACTATTTCAGTAAGTAGAAAATGACTGCATCCTTGCACCCACTTCTTTCCTTCATATCAAATTTCCTTCGCAAATTAGAGTTGGGAATCTGAGATTAGATACCCATGCAGTGGAATTCGCCCCCAGTTCCAGTCACTACACCGAGACAGCTTTAGGTCCAAAATAGCAGAATATTTTTTGCAGAATATAAGGTTTCAATAATACAGTTCTGGACATTGATCTATACATACAACTTGTAGCCTTTGCAGATATATGCATACAAGTATAAAGTATTTCTGTTGCTCCAGCAAATCAAAACGTTGCACAGACAGACTCATTCACTTCACAAGACTGACTCTGATACACAGACAGACTCACTGACGGATGAGCTGACATTCCCCAATCACTTACTGTATTTTTTGCTCTATAAGACTCACTTTTTCCCTCCTAAAAAGTAAGGGGAAATGTGTGCGTGCAAATGCAGGCAGCGCAGCTATCCCAGAAGCCAGAACAGCAAGAGGGATTGCTGCTTTCACTGCGCAGCAATCCCTCTTGCTGCCCTGGCTTCTGAGATTCAGAATATTTTTTTCTTGTTTTCCTCCTCCAAAAACTAGGTGCGTCTTGTGACCTGGTGCGCCTTATAGAGCGAAAAATACGGTATATAGCTGGCAGTGGGCTATTACCATAGCAACTGGCTTGGCTGACCATGCACCTGTTGGCTTATCTCCTGCATGGGGTGCTCATGAAGGAAATTAACCTCTGCATTTAGTTCCTTCAACAATTAGCACATCATGTTGAAATGGTGGGAGGAGGGGTAAAAGAGGAAGTTATTATTTATATATTGGAAAAAGTTGAATAAAAATAAAATCTAAAACCCACCAAACAAACAAAAAACAGACATCCACAGCTATAGGGAACTGCACTGTATATACAGTGTGTTTGTTTTCTTTTGTACTGTAGAACCTCTTAACAACCCCAGAGGTAATTGGATTCTTTTGATCCTTGTAGTTTTCAAAAGGGTCTGGCCAAAACAGTAGCTTTATGAATTTTAACATTATTCTGGATGCTTGCATTGCTCAGTTGTGACAGAAATGTCAGCAAAACGTAAGTTTCAATGTTAAAGTAAATAATTTGCATGTATACTTAAGCTTTCCAGGATAAAGGTCATAGAAACATGCAGAGCAGTATAGGATGGAATATTAAAAATTGCATTACTTACACATTCAGGGGCAAGTATTTTTCTATACCAAGTATAGCATTGAACAGCTTGATTTCTTTATGGATTTCACCATGATGACGGCAGCACAAATCAATTGTCCTTGGTATCATTAAATCCAACTATTAGGATGATGTAAGTCAGCATTTTCTCCATTGGGATCCTTTCTTGACAATACGAAGTAGATATAACTGTATTCTTTCGTGACTATTGTGAAAGAAGGCGGGAAAACAGATAAAGCTTCATAGGATGTAATTCATTTGGTAGTAATGGTCCTATTACAGTAATTACAATTTTGTCATTGTGACTGCAGTGTTTAAAGAACCTGGCCTGTGGCTTAATTGCAGATTTATAGCAACTAACCCTTTGGGGATCATTGTCGTCTGTAATCGCATTCTCGTAACTAATGATTTGAAAAACAGAAGTTCTGTAGCAATTCCGCCGCTGCTAACCACCATCAGTTTCATTTGCTTCTATAATGTTGAAATGTAAGATAAAATATGGGCCTGTTAAGGATACTATGTATGTTTGTATGTATTAAATTTTTACCTTGCAATGCTCAGCCCACATAGGGGACTGGCGTCCAGCTGCTTAAAACAGCAGAAGAAAAATAATAATATTAAATGACATGTCTCTCTCTCTCTCTCTCTCTCTCTCACACACACACACACACACACACACACACACACACACACACACACACACACAAATACAAATAACAACACTGAAATATCAATGTTTTTAATTAAAGTGCTTTGGTACCCAGTAATTGGAAAACCAAAGGTCCTTCTCAAGGGCCATTTCCCCTAACCACCCCAAATGCTCCCTCTGTCAGCATCCATTCCCCTGTCTGTCTCTGAGGGGGAGATGGGTCAGCAAGGCTCCGTCCACCAGTTCAGCTGGGGCGGCTGTCATTTGACATATTTGCTTTCCTTTTTCCCTTTCAAATAATGTATTTTAGATTGTAAGCTGTGATTTTAAACTAGGAACTGCTTTGAGTGCTTTGGCTGCAAGACAGCACATAAATGTAGGAACTCAATAAATTGAAGCTCTTTACTAGTCTGGATAAATTCTTTCATTTGGCATGGGTGCCTGGGAGAGCGCCTCAGAGGATGACCTAAGAACCCAGGCAGATGTACATCAGACAAGACCCTCCTTCATACGTGAACTAAGGTTGGCATACAAAACTGAAGGTGAGGGTGACCTCACTGAATGAGGTGAGGCAGGTGGCTCCTAAAGAGAGTGTCAAATCACAAGTGGGGTTTGATATGCTGGGAATCAGAAGTGGGGAGGGGCCTACCACACTCATATTCTGCTTGTGGGCATCTGATAGGCATTTGGTTGGCCAACATGAAGATAGGAGGCTGAACTACATGGGCCTTTGGCCTGATCTAGCAGCAGGTAGTGGTTAAGAGCGGTGGACTAGTAATCTGGGGAACCGGGTTCGTGTCCTCGCTCCTCCACATGCAGCTGCTGGGTGACGTTGGGCTAGTCACACATCTCTGAAGTCTCTCAGCCTCACTCACCTCACAGAGTGTTTGTTGTGGGGGAGGAAGGGAAAGGAGAATGTTAGCCGCTTTGAGACTCCTTCAGGTAGTGATAAAGCGGGATATCAAATCCAACTCTAATTATTTTATAACTTTTTCAGTGGCGCAGTGCCCTCTCCATAGAGGCTCCCCTGGCACCCACACTGTGGTCTATTCAGTGCCAATTGAAAATCTCATTTTACAAAGCCATTAATTTTTATATATGGGCGTTTTATTCCCTAGCCTTCATCATATGATCCCATTGTATGTTATAATACAATAAAAAGCAATATTGTTTTAAACAATAAAGCAACAAACCAATAGAGGACATTCTTTTTGACAGCCTCTAAACTATCCTCCTTTTCACAGAGGTCTGTCTGACACGTTTATTATATAGCTTTCACCTTTTGCTGATAGCACACCACATTACCCTGACCTTTGACTCTATCTTGAATTTTTATATGACTCTTCCATGCAAATCTTTCATCTCTGCTTGTTGTTGTTTATTACATTCATATCTCACCTTTCTTCTAACGAGGAAGCGGTTTTTCTTTTCAACACCCCAAGAAGTAGATTAGGCTGGGGAGTCAGTAACTGGCCCAAGATCACCAAGTAAGCTTAATGGCTGAGTGGGGATTGAAAACCTGGTCTTCCATGTCCTGCTTCAAGACACACCTGCACCTCACTGTTGTGAGGGTAAACATCTGCAGCAGGGAGCGTTTTGTATCAGTGGAGGCTGTATATGCAGTTGAGAACTACAGTGACTGGCAGAGGCTTCCCAGGGCTTCCCAACCCTACTTAGAAATGCCAGGGATTGAGCTTGGAACTTTCTGGGCTCTTCTTGTTCTACTCTTGAGTAGAACTACTGCTGAATACCACCATCTGTATGCGAGGCAGATGCTCTCCTGCTGAGTTATGGCCTTTCCCCACCAGTGTAATATTGGTGTATTAGTGGTGTCAGTATTTGGTACATAAACTGTGGAGCCATGAATTTTGGTTGAACCTGAGGACGAAGAAAGGCTGGCTGAGTTGCTATTTGCGATTGAACCTGATGCTGGAGAACAGTGATAGCTAGAACATAAAGGTCAAGGTTTCCTGTATGTTTGCAGGGAGATCATATTTAACAAATAGCAGAACACTGTGAATGTTGCTCTTATACCATCTTTGCCCCAGGGAGGTGACTCAGTGGGCAAAAGCTATAGTTAAGTACATTATAAGTAAGCAGTAATTCAGTTATCTCAGCAGGGTTGCTAATTAGTGTAGGTTGCATTCGTTTTTATTATGCTACGTACCTGACCACTGGGAACTGTGTGGAATCTCCCATCTACTTTCAGATACATCTAACAGCTGTCAGGTAGTTATGATTCCCAGATGTCTTAGAAAGAAAGAAAGAAAGAAAGAAAGAAAGAAAGAAAGAAAGAAAGAAATGGTCTAATAATGCTAACCCTTTCAATCACAAGTTCACCTTAGGGGAAATTTTCATGTTTGTGCTTCACGATAGGTTTTCCTTGCTCACAGTTGATTATCCAAGATGCTTTCATAGTTTGGGCCTTACTGGAAAAGACTGAAAAGAAGGCTATATACTTCATAAATGAAAACAAAATTAAGCATGGCATTAGTGCTGAGCTGGAGAGCCTTTGACCCTGTTGTTGCCATACAGCTCCCAGCAGAGCAAGTCAACATAGCCAGTGATTGGGGATGATGGGAGTTGTAGTCCAACAACATCCGCAGAGCCACAAGTTAGCCACCCCTGCTTTAGTGTCTTATATATACTTTCCCACACAAGATGTATGAATACACAAGTTCCTTATAACTGCAAGTATAACACCCTTTTAAAACCCAGTGTCCTCCATGATTTTTGGTATCTTGCATGCTGAAATGGCGTCTGAGCTCTGAAATGTAGCATTCTAGCGTAGCTGAGGCCTTAATGGGGACATCAGGCACTAAGAAACTACATATGTCAGGACTGCTTAAACTTCCCATTCTCCTATTAATTCAGAGCTGAAGCATGCAACCAGCAGACTTGTGCAGTGAACCTGTTGCTGGACTATACCGCTTCAGACAGTTAGTGGAGAAGCCCATATTTAAAATAATGTCGGGAAGGAAAAACCAGAAATACATTGGTGGTAACCAAATTACTGTTATTTTGCAGTTTGCCGGGAAGATTCACACCAGTCTATAGTCTCGTGTGCTGCTGTGCTGCTTACTCCCATTGAACCAACTGCTGAAGGAAAGAAGAAGGAACAGCCAAAAATGACTGAAGTGACCAAACAGTGAGTGAGACGTTAC